GTCTAGTTATGACAATATGAAAGCATTACTTCTCTAAAATACAATGGCAATCTGTGAACATAATAATGTGAGAATGTATTGCCCGATTATACTAAGTTTTGATACATATTTTTTGCGATATTTGCGATTTTTTTAGAAAGTACAACTTGATTTGGTACTTATCAAAAATATATTTAAAGTATATTAGTAAATTGAAAATACATATTCATCGCCATGGTTTATTATTAATTTTATTGTGATCATTTTTTTTCTGCGTTTGTGTCAACGAAATAAATGCAATACTACTCCGAAAATATCATGACAATCCGTGGACACAAAGATGCGTGGTAAAGTGCCCGGTTATATTTTGTTTTGATTCGTTTTTTTGCGAATCCGTCAAATCTGAGCAGTGCGTACAACACCTACGGCAGTACTGTACGTACCAACGTGGAGTCAGTAAAGCAAAGAATCCTAAGGAAAAATGCCCTGGTACGGTAGCATCCAAAATTTTGCGATTTGCAATGTCTAAAAGCGGACCATCATAAAACAAAACTTAAGGTGTTCTTCGTTTTATTCTTAATATGTTGTATTGCCGCTTTTCAATTTAGAAAATTTTGGTTGCCACCATTGACACCAACCAGAAAAAAAAAAAATTATTCCTCGTTGTGAGAACTCGCGAGAAACACCACTTAGGTATTTATCGAAGGGTGTGCAGACTCGTGTTTTCGTCGGAAATCCGCAAGTGAGTTGTGAAATCCGCTTCCATTACATTTGAACCCACGACAATTGCACCTGCATACTATTGTACCTATGGAACTTTTTTATTGTTTTACGAATATTTGAACCCATACTAACCCTGACCTATTGGTTTTAGCACCCGCATGTAGATTGAATCCGCGGATATACACATGGGTTCAAATGAACGGTAACCGTAAAATACAATCGTCTGATTAAGCGCAAGTGACCTATCGCGTCACCTGCTACCAAATTTTTGAATAGTAAATTGCTATTCTAATAGTTGAATGTTCGATTAAATGCCCAGATAACCAGTAATTATTGACTCGATTAATGTTATGTTACTGAACTTATTCTAACGTAAATGGTGACGAGGGTTTCATTTTGTGATGATCAATAGACCATATTGTAGAAAATGTTTGAGAATTGGAAATAATATTATCCGCGAATCCACTAAGGTTTACATTTGACGCCGAGGATCTTCGGTTTTTCACAATATCACAAAACAAACATTTAATTAACAGCGTACTGCTGACATATACTGGACATTATTACTGCAACAGCTTTGGTGTTTCAAAAGTATAACAGCCCGGAAGTTCAATACATTTGAGTATCTTTTGTTTGATTATTTCTGGCCCAAGCCTCATTTTTACTAGATTTAAGTTTTTTGTAATTTGTTTTTGTGTGTGCGCTGGTGGGCGGGCACATGATATTTCTCATGTTTTTAACGGTTTTGCTCGCCCTCCAGAATTCTTCATTTTAAATTTGTGTATATTATGGAGTATTCAAATAAACTATCTATCTATTTAAATCGCAACGTGACTGAATTTCTGGCTCGTTGCGGACTCATTCAAACGCTCCGCGGACTCATTCAAACGCTCCGCGGACTCATTTGAGACCGCGGACTCGGGTTGGGAAACACTGGGCAAACGGTACGCTACCGGCCACACAGCAACAACGGTATCGAGAACATGACAATTGCTATTGTTCTTGTATTATGCTGACTGGCTGAACGCCAAATCGGGACGCCGGGACAATACGTTAAAAAGTGGGACTGTTCCGCCTAAAACGGGACGTATATATATGATAAGGACTACGTATTACCCATGCGGCCGCGCATCTTTTTCAATAATGTGAGGTGCTCATAAGGCGTTTTCGTGTACATTATTGTAAGAAAACAGTTATAATATCGGTAACTGTTAACCATTTGTTCGCGCTCGACTATTGCACTTTTTGGAAATGATAATTATGTAAAGCGGTTGTAAAGTGTTTAAATATAGACGAAATTACTGCATTAAGAGTGAGTCTCTCTCAGAGAGTTAGGAGTATGTCTCCCTCACATTCGTCCACAAATTGCAGCAGTAGTAGAGAAGCGCCAGGCATAACAGTCCTACTCACATTCACCAAATTATCCTATACCTGTTACTGAATACGGGGTATGTTGATTTACATGAACAAAATTCCCTTTATCTGATATTCTTTGCTTATTATTATTTTATAGCAAACTGGCTTTATGAGCAGAAATTGTCATGTTTTTCGATAGGCGTGCCGCGAATATTTAAAGTGCTCAATAGCAGTGGCGTAGCATCCACCCCCGCGGTCGCGGGAGGGCCCATAGCGCAAAGGGGCCCAAGCGGTTAGAATTTAGAAATGTAAGCCGCAAAACCAAAAGTTGCATTGCAAAACCAGTAATGCACATCTAACGTTGATGTTAGTTCAGCTCAAATCGTTTTGTTATGTAACAATGCCAGAGAGTCGTCGATTTTCGACGTCTTGTGGTTTGATCGCACCTGCAAAATTACGAAGGATGTCGAAAGCAAAACCTCTCAGTGGCGCACAGAAACGCAGAAAAAGGGCTGAAGAGGAAGCACGTATGAAAAAAATTAAAGTAACCAAGATAAACGGCAAATTTTATGTTACCATTGCCTTTTAATAGCGACATGTTATGCTTTTTGACGAAATAAAAGAGCGTTATTTTAGGTTATGTCCGAGAGTTTTTAGGGTCATTTCCATGAAATATTTTTGCGATCACGAGAATCTTGCTACGCCACTGCTCAATAGTGAGCCGCGATATAAAAAAAAAGGTTGGTAACCACTGCCGTAACTATACTATGCGCGTTTTTCATTGGTAACAGACCATGGACGGGATGTAGTTTGCCTTGCTTGAGCACCTTTCCAATGGATATTAGAATCTGGAGCTTCGCAATTGCCGTATCTTGCTGATCACAAGGTCGGAACTACCCCCCTTTTTAAGATAATGCGTGCGATTGCATCTTGTTAAAGATCGCCGATTGTTTTCGTCAGCGTGAGGTGCTATTTATCTCTTAAACACCTTTACGTCGGTATTTATTTTCCCTAAACCACAAATTTTCAACAACATGTGCATGTCTTGTTACCTTAGGAGAACGAGTTTGTTGCGAAAATCGAGTTATTGAACACATTGCCACACATTTTTATTGCGGAGAGATACATTTTGGAGTAGTAACACTTTTAGATTTTAAGTCGACGCAACAGCAGGTTACATTGGACATAATCAAATTAAAAGAGCGATGCATTCTTAATATTTGCGGTATCGGTCATGGATTGAATACTTTTTGCAATTGCGGACAATTTTGTGGCAGTCAATGCTAATAGAAGAGCTCAAAGTTTAGAAATCCCAAGGTTGCAAATATTCTAATCTAATCATAATCGGGCAGTTAGTTTTCCGCGTATTTTAAGTCTGCATGTTAGCGTAGTATTTTAGAGAAGTAGCGCTTTTATTTTACCATAAGTCGAAGCAAATTAGTAAGGCAAGGCATTTTAAATGCCCGCATCGGCCATGGATTGAATATTTTAAGCTGCCCAAAATTATTACCTTATTACCGGTAAAATAGTCCCTGGCTACGTCGCAGGAGACAATTATGTGCTTGAGGTGGTTCACCATACCCTGGTCGGTTATGGGCTTATGCCTTATGGCTTCCTCTACCATCCAAGTTCATGCATCTGCAAGCCTTTCTTCTAGGATAACGTTTTTTCATTCTTAAGACATCTCACCTGTATATAAATGGTGCAATATTTTGCACTCATTTGTTTCACGCATCAGTAGGTATTGTTTGTTCGTATCTCATCGGGATTTTCGCATTTATTAACATGCAAAGGAAGATTATTATCTATCTCGTGGCATACAATTTGGTGATATGTTAAAATCGGGATTTTTATTCTCCATTTTTTCGTATATTTTGAAAATTACTGCAACATTTCACAAATGCTATTGTGATATTTACTCTCGCGCAAGACTACGTTTTGTGTCAGTCACGAGTTTGTTCTCGGCAGGTTCAGTTCCACTGTGATCGAACAATGAAAGGGTATGACGTCATGTGGTGACTAATCAGCTGGCAATATTTCATAAGGGGAGTTGTTTGTGATTTGATTTTTGACTGATCGATGTTCATCATTTATTGAGATTTAAACTTTTGATGTCTTAAGTACCGGTATACACCGAATTAATTGGAGGGTAAAAAAAAACTTGAAGGCGGCCACAGCATTTCTTGGAGAGACAAATAATACGTCCGACATTCAGAATTAGTTTTCCCATATTTCATTGTTTAATATTTAAATCAGGCGAGAGAAATTTTATAATAAGGTACCGTACTGAAGTAAGACTGTCACTCAATATCGTATATTCCAGTATATGGTACCGGTACATACCAGTACAATACAGCAGTACAGAATCAAATTTATAAAAGCCAATTTTCTGCTGCAGTCTAAAACAAAGAGCTGGTCAACTATTTCCATACCTACCTGACAATGACATGAATACAAACTAGATGATACAGTGATAAGGTTGTCATAATTATATTGTCTTTGTTCTGAATAAATAGAAATATTCATTTTGTCCCTTAACTAGTTTAATTCAATTTTGAATTGTTCCATTTTTCTGTTGTGTCAGTGTGTAGTCTCACATCATATGGTATTTCAAGTAACACGTCCCGATGTGCAATTTAGCTCAGTTGCTTCATAAATTATGTCAGAAAATAACGGTTTAAATTGCTTTACTACCATAACTAAGAACTCTACTGAAGCTGAAGAATTAAAAAAAGAAGTTGATGATTATTTCCAGCTTTATAACTGGAACATAGACGCGCTTTGGAACATAAACAGAAATCGTAAACAGGTATCGTGTGGTGTTTTTCCCCATTTTAACCATTTTAATTTTTATATTCAGTCGCGCTTTGGAACATAAACAGAAATCGTAAACAGGTATCGTGTGGTGTTTTTCCCCATTTTAACCATTTTAATTTTTATATTCAGTTCAATATTTAAGAATTTGGACTAGTATTATGCTACATTAAGATAGTTGATATTTGTAAAGACTCAATGAAGATCAACTTTTTGATGCTGAAAATTGGGCATAAAGATTGTTAACGTAATTGCTAGAGACAGTTAAGAAAATAGACAGTTAAGAACTGAGACTCCGGTCTTATTGTACTAGTTGAAGTAATGTATTACTTACATTTTGATTTTATTATCCTGATGACATATTTCAATTGAACTTTGCAAAGTGTTTTTGCATTAACAAAAGTATTTTAGGTGAGTGTAGCTCTTATAACAGGGTTGTCCAAACAAATTGAGTATTTCTATCCATTTGAAATAAAGTATATTCCCTTTTCTTGATTTTTGGAATCATTCAGAATAGTTTCATTTGAAAAACTGTCATCTTGAGCATTGAACCCTAACCCTAAACAAAAACGTTGTAATTCAATTTCTGGTTGGTGTAAAAAAAATCAACCAAATAAAATATCTTAAGTGATTCAAGAGTCTTGCTGCACACTAACACTAATATATTTCTGTAAAGTTTCGTCTGACCAAGGTCAGACTTCTTCAGACATGCATAGTTTATTGTCTTCATTGTTTATCTAACTAACCTTTCCAGCGTTTCCATTCTTTATTCAAGAACCATAAACAAATGTTGTAGTTGTAGACATACTTTCTTGATACAGTATGAACGCACATTGCTATCTCTTACACTTTTAAAAGGCATTTGAGCAGTATATGCCAGGCTAGAATTTACAATGTTGTGTAAATCAATAAAAGTGTGCCTTGCTTATGATTATACCTTGTCAGAGTAGAAGTACTCAATTCGCAAACTTGTTCAATTTTCATTACCCGATGTAGTAAGTTTGTGTATCACTTAGAGATAATTGCAGGGGAATTGACTTCATAAAATCCCTAGTGTCATTTATATTAATATATGATTCTTTTTTGCTTTATGAATTCATTAAATATGATTATTTCTATTATTTCTGCCTTTTTTGGGACACCGGGCGAAATCTCTCAATGATACGCGAGGAGAGAAGTTTGAAAATCACTGGTTTATATCAATCTTTTTCAATCGTAGTTCAACCCCTAGCATTAAATTAGATTGCATAACCCACCCAGCCATATATCGTTTTGGTCATAGTGGTTTCACACAAGTTTTTGTTGGTTTATGTTTCTAGTTTGCATAACCAATGGCAGCCAACTGTAAACCAGTTGGCTTGAATTGCTTCACCTCCATTGGGCCAGATTATGAAGATCGTGATAAGCTAATAGCTGAAGTTGAAGATTATTTCGAGCTATACAATCTACTTGACCCTGAAATATCAGGCATGAAACCCTGGTGGGACTTATCAAAAAATCAGGCATTGTATTATGTAGTTTATTTTCCTGATGCTTCTACACGTGACAGTGCTTACTACAATTCAAATAGAATTAAGAAACCAGATTGCATTGATTTTATGTCGATACATGGAGAAAACCAACCATGCTCCCCAAGCCCTGGGAAACGACAGAAAATAGGTGATGGTTATACTACTCCAAGACTTTCTGAAGCCAGTGATAAGAATATCCGAAACCTGGATGCATTGCGAACTTTCGGAGAAAGTGAAAAAAAGAAATATGATGACAAATTGGGATGGTTTTTGCGATGGAGCTCACAGTTCGCTGTACTATTGGTTTTGCCTATGGAGGAGTATCAAAAGCTTTCCGAAACTGACAATTTCTCTTTGCCTAGGAATATTCTGGAAAAATATGCAAAATTTGCCATTCCAAGTTCACATACAGACCATTTGGACGATCTCTTGGAACAAGAAAGAAAAGTTATACATGCTGAAGCCAAGCTTATGGGAGATCCACTGAGATCTCCTATTAATTTATCAATACCCTACAAGCGTAGTTGGCTTATGAGAATTATCACTGACCATGAAATGGCTCAGTGGGAAAAAGGAAATTCCAGTCAAGCCACAAAATACAAGGTATTCCTCTATTCAGCCATTGAGATATGTTATTTCTGCAAGAGAGCAATTTTGCGATCTATCTTCGTAAATTTAGCGAGCAAAGGAAAAATTGATGATGAAACAAAGCCAGTCATTGGCCATTCATTTGAAAATAAATCTGAAAATGAGCTCACTACTGATCCTGACGAGTCAAAAGTAATTTTCTATTTGCCTGAGCGGCCTTTGATCACCCCACACAAGAAGTCTGATAATCAAAATGGGTTTGAACATGCTGTCCCGACCGCAGATAAAGGTCCCAAAGATATCAAACGTGATTTGGGACACGAAATGTAACAAATTTAGCTTGGAACAAATTTTTTTTACATGTGTCGGAATAGTTAACTATCCAAAGTTTTATTGAAGATTCATCCTTTATATAAAAGTGACTCAGGTTATTTAAACCAGTGGTTCCCAACATTGATATTCGTTAGTCCTCTATGATTTTCCGAACTGTTTTAAGACACAAATTCATATTAAATTACCGGTACTATCAGAAATGGGTTTGTCATTTCCGAGGATGTTTTTTATTCACAAAGAAAAAAATAAGTCAAACATTTTCATCCGCATGCCAAAAACTGTAAAAAACGGTAAAAAATTTGCTTTGCTAATCTATTTTATCGTTTCGAAGTGTTTTACGCAATCAAAGACAACAAGCAAAAACCCACCTAATAAAATTAGAACTGTTCATATATTTCCCATTTTAAAATCTTGCTTTGCTTGATTTATTTGATGTTACCAATCCACCGAGATAAAAAGATTGGGAACCACTGATATAAACGATATGACTTTACTCAAACTCAACTGACAGCAAGTGATAATAAACTCAATGATTGATTCAACTCGGGTATGACTTCTTACCGACACTGATATTTTAAGGTGAAATATTGATAGATGCCAACATCTGTAAAATATACACAAGTTATAATTTGTGTGAATATTGTGATATGCTGTTTTGCCTTTCGTGTTTCGCTGGTTTATCTGCTCTTTTTTCACCCATGGTCTTCAATAAGCATATTTTGCTGTGTGTCTGCTGCTATTTTGCTATTCAACTAATTGGTAGATTTGGTTGTATTAAGATCTCTATCAGCAGTTAGTTCTAAAGTAGATTACATCTGTTATACTTCATTAGTGGACATTGGATGTTTGTCAATATCACAAGTTTGTAATCTGCAAGAAACTCGCTCATTAAGACTTTACTGGAATAAGAAGGAAGAAAATGCCCAAATAAATTTAAATTTGTGTGTTCAGATAGACATAACAATTTCAAGTTCAAATGATAAGAGATTTCAAAATGCAGATTTAGTCAATCACGTAAGGATTGTAAGTGAAGATCAAGCACTTTTATTATTTTCTAGTTTGTCCCTTGAAATTGCCCTACCAAGCACAGACAGTGCTAATGGGTATTACCGGTATATTTGATGAACAAAAATCTTAGTTTTTGTGTTCGATTTCACAATCATTCCCTATATACTCATGCTGTGCGAATAACATGAAAACTTTGTAGTCTAGTGATTAAATTGTAAAAGTAAAATTGGACAGCATGAATGTAAAAGCAATTTTTCACTAATTTTGTGGGAGTCCCTAATGATTCAAGATTGTGTGGCAAGTCGAGCGTGCAGTCTTATTTGTAGAAAACAATAGAATAAAAATAGAATAGGATTCGGCATTCTGGATTTGATTCAGGTATTCTAGAATAGTAACCTTTTCTACATTGCTCATCCTTAGTTGATAAATTGATTACTGGAGAGAATAGACAGTTAGGAACTGAGACTGAATTTGAAAACCGGCTTCTTGAGCATTGAAGTCTCTCAGTAAGACCAAAAACATCTTCATTCATTTTCTATATAAAAAATCAACCAAATAGAATAGCATTGTTTATCCCACCTTTCCAGCATTTCCGAAGTTCTTAAATTCTTTCTCAAAAACCATAAACGAAAGTTTTAGACACGCTTTCTCGATACAGTATGGACGCACATTGCTATCTCCTAAATATTTTTAAGAGGCATTTAGGCATTATTATGTCAGGTTATAATATACAGTGTTATGCGGGTTTTTTTTTTTTTGAAATATTGTCTTGGAAAATAACGGTTTGAGTAAAAATTATTATTAAAAGTTCTTTGCTTCTGATCCCAGCAGAGTAGAAGCACTCAACTTACAAACTTATTACTTATCGATCTTCAGATCGGTAAGTGTGTTGATAGGTATTTGTCTGTTTGTCTGTCTGTTAAATGCACACGATATCTCACGAAGGCGACGTTGAATCTGCTCCAAATTTTGCATGTGTATTCATCATATCTTGGACCAGAAGCCTATCGATTTTGGATGAATAATGTCGTATAATTAGCGAGTTATTAATCAATTAGTGATGGGACACGCGGCATCACTATAGAGTCATAAATCGAAACCGCAGTTTCAATCGATAAGTCTTCGGCCTCCGACCGATATTCTCGTCTAATTTTTATTAGGTACCCGATGTACTTAAGTTCTGTATCTTTTTAAAATACCTGTAGGGTGATTGATTCAATAAAATCATAGCACAGTGCAGAAATACAATTTTATATCTATATATTAAAGCTTATTAACATATATGAGTTGTTACTTTTATATCGATTTTAATCGGTAAGTATGTTGATAGGTATTTGTCTGTATGTTTGTTAGATGCACGCCATGTCTCACGAAAGCGAGATTGAATCTGCTCCGGATTTTGCATGTGCATTCATCTTATCTCGGACCAGAAGCCTACTGATTTTGGGCGAATTATGTTGTATAATTAGCGAGTTATCAATCAATTATTGATATAGTGATCTAGATTTTTGTAAAGCGAGAGAATTTTGAGACCCGCCGAGTGTGTGTGTGCGATGCGTAGTGCGCAAGTTACAAGAGCGGATGAATCGAAACTGCAGTTTCTGTTTTGGGGGATTCCCTAACTATCGATCGATAAGTCTTCGGTTTCCAACCGATATTCTCGTTTTATTATTTTTGCCTTTTTTTGTGCTTGGAATGGTGAGCGAAATCTCCTGATGGTACCGGTATGTGAAAAGAGTTTGGAAATCCCTGGTTGATATCAATCTTTTCTGATTTCATAGTTCAACCCCTAGCAATGAATTACCGCCATATACGGTATATATTTTGCTTATTCCCACGCTTTTTATTGGCTAGATTACTAATATATAAACAATAGAATCCATGTCTAAACCTATTGGCTTGAATTGCTTCACCTCCATTGCTAAATATTCTGTCGACCGTGTTCGGCTAAAAGCTGAAGTTGAGAAGTATTTCAAAAAATATGGTGCACTGGACAATGACATATCAGGCAAAAAGTCAGAATGGCGCCTTACAAAGGATAAACCGACATGGTATTATTTAGTCTATTTTTGTGATGCTTCTACACGTGACAATGCTATCTTGAATACAAAGAAAATTAAGAAACCAGATTGCATTAAGAATTTGTTGAAACATGGAGGAAAACATCAATTGTCCACTCCAAGCCCTATCAAACGTGAGGAAACCGATGAAGGTTTCCCTTCTTCAGGACTTTTTGAAACTAGTGATAAAAATATCCGATTCCTGGATACTTTGCGAATTTTCGGGGAGAGTGAAAAGAAGAAATATGATGACAAATTGGGATGGTTTTTGCGATGGAGCTCACAGTTCGCTGTACTACTTGTTCTGCCCATAGAGGAATATGAAAAGCTATGCGAAACTGAAAATTTCACTTTGCCTGAGGCTATTCTGAATAAATATGCAAAATTTGCCATTCCCAGTTCACATACAGACCATTTGGACGATCCCTTGGAACAAGAAAGAAAAGTTATACATGCTGAAGCCAAGCTTATGGGAGATCCACTGAGATCTCCTATTAATTTATCAATACCCTACGAGCGTAGTTGGCTTATGAGAATTATCACTGACCATGAAATGGCTCAGTGGGAAAAAGGAAATTCTATCCAAGACGCAAAATACAAGGTATTTCTCTATTCAGCCATTGAGATATGTTATTTCTGCAAGAGAGCAATTTTTCGGTCAATCTTTGTAAATTTAGGGAACAAAGGAAAAATTGATGAAAATACAAAGCCAGTAATTGGCCATTCATTTAAAAATAAATATGAAAGTGATCTCATCACTGATCCAAATGAGTCAAAAGTAATTTTCATTTCGCCTAAAGGTCCTGATGTTATGGATGAGTTGTCCAAACAAACTGAGAATATTAACATCAATTCTGAATAGTCAATTATTGTGATATTTTAATATAAAATTACAGTAATATCCAATCTGAATACTATAGCCAGGTATATTTGGCAGTGCTGTGAAGGCTTGACTTTTGTCGGGTGAGACTTTGCTAAGTGATTGATTCAACTCTTGACTTTAGGGGCTTCATTCAACCCAATAGTGATATTTTGTAGATGTTAATATCTGCCCATTTCTATACAAACATTCATGAATTTTAATTTATGTGGATATCAGGGTATGCTATTTTTCGTGATCTGTTTTCCTGATCTTATACCAATGCACTTTTTTTTACTCCTGGTGTGCAATAAGCGTTTCCCGCATTGTTGGTGATATTATATCGATGCACTTAATTTTTTATCCTTGGTCTATAATAAGTGTATTTTGCGTTTCCAACTGCTATTTCATGTGTTAACTGACTTATGTAAATATTGGAATATTATTTTGCGCAGCCTGTTTTTTTATCTTATATCAATGACTCTGTTTTCCGCCCTTACTCTTTAATAATTTTTTTCTGCTGCTATTTTCCTTGTTGACTAATATATGTGAATATTGGGATATGCTATTTTTGGACACGAAAGTGGTCATAACGATCGTTTTGCAATATTGTTGTTGTTCTTGTTCCTATTTGTATTCTTCTTGGTTTCGTTTTGAAAAAAATCGACTATTTGCTTTGAAATTTTCAGTGGTTGAAGATGGAATTTTTCCCTAGAAGGCTATTACTTTTATTTATTTCTTAATTTCGATTTTTTTGTCCAAAATTTCGCTGTATTATTTTATCCATGGGAACACTTGCTGTCCGGTTTGAATCTGTAAATTCCTGCTGCGCGAAACTCGGAAATTTTTTGAGGATATCTGTGGCATCAAAGGTAGGGACTGCTTCGCTTTAGTTAACGTGTCCATATATTTAAGCATTGCTCTTTTGTCATCTGATCCATTGATTTTATATCCATGCACTTTACTTTCCACCCTTTGTCTTCAATAGGATTATTTTGTTTGTTGCCTGTTGCTATTTTAACTAATGCCTTTTTACCATCTTTCCTGCCTTTCAACTAATTGGTATATTTGATTGTATTTAGATTCCCATCAACAGTTAGTTCTAAAGTACATTTAGTTCTCAAGTACCTAAGTCTGTTATATTTCATTTTGGACAGTGGATTTATGAGAAAATCTGCAAAAAAACTGCTTATTAAGATTTTACCGGGATTAAAAAGAAGAAAATACCCAATTAAATTTCACTTCAATTCCCAATATTTGGACAATACAAGTTGAAATAGGTGGAGATTTAAAAATGTAGGTTCAGCCAAACACAACAAGAGCTGTGAGTAAGATTGTCCCTAGTTCCATGGAATTTTGCCTTACTGAGCTCACAAAATGGGGATGGTACTTACAGTAATATAAAAGGCTTAGTCTCTGTATTGATTTTACAACCATAAGTTCTTAAAGATTCTGTGTTTAGAGCATGTAAATTTCTTCACATATATTATGTTGTTGATTGGAGAATAGCACAGTTTTTCGGGGCAGCATACCCTAGAACTCCTGCTGCATGAATGTTATGAAATTTTTTTGTAGTTTTATATGGCAAAAGTAAAATTAAATAGCATGACATTTAAAGGCAGCATTTCACTAATTTTGTGGGAGTCCTGACTCGTAACGATTCCAGATCAGTGGCTTCTTGCACAGTGCCTTGTTTAGAATGGAAGTTGTGAATAGTGATGCCAAACTGGAAATATTGGATATTGTTAGCACAGTGCCTTGTTTGGTGCGAAAGGCGGCATATAAAAAAATTAACAGTTAGGCACTGTCTTAACGTTTAATCAACTTCTTGTCAGATCTCTCAGCACTATTTA